GCCCAACAGCCCCTTCTGCACAGAAATCCTTCCTCAGAGCCAGCCTGACCCTGCCCTGGGCAGCTTGAGGCCATTCCCTCGGGGCCTGGCGCTGGCTCCTTGGCTCCAGAGACTCATCCCCCCTCTCTGCCCCCTCCTGGCAGGGAGTTGCAGAGGGCCAGGAGGTCTCCCCTCAGCCTCCTCTTCTCCAGACTGAACCCCCCCAGTTCCCCCAGCCGCTCCCCAGCAGACCTGTGCTCCAGACCCTGCCCCAGCTCCACTGCCCTTCTCTGGCCACGCTCGAGTCATTTCATTCTTCCCTTGGGGCTCAAACCCCCCCAAAAAGGCTTAAAACAAGGAGAAGGGCACCCCAAAAGGATGATGTTCATGGCTCTGGTGCATCCCTGCAGTCTCCTCCAAAGGGGGAGTGGTAATAATTATAAAACTAATATTTTTATTATGTATGATTATTTATTAGTATTTCTTAATTATTATTATTTAGGGACCTGAATCAATCCTGGTGTCCCAACAGACACACATTTTGGGCATCCCCAAAATACCACACCCTGCACCCCCAAAAAAACCCCTCAGGGGTTGCCAGTGTAGGTTTATCCACATTTAGTCGTGCTGGGACTGACAAGGCTTGGCCGTGCTTGAAGCCACCACCTCCATGCAGGTGGGTTTTTGGCTTGGCTCAGCCCCCAGACCTCAGGCTGCCCCGTAGCACCAGTAAAAACCTCAAAGTCCAAAAATAGTGGTATAAAATCCCTGCTATTTTCTAAAAAAAACACAGAATCATCAACCTGGAGTAGTTCTTTTGTTAGCAAAAGGTGAAAAGATTAGGATCTGGTGAGTGTTAGGGCTTGTCAGGGCTGGAGGAGAGTCATGTATCGGGGGAAATAAATCAGGGGGCTTGGCCAATGCTGAGACAGGGCTCTCCTGGGGCTAAAAAAAGGAATATTTCCAAACTTTTTGTTAAAAATTGCAATAGAAAAGTGGGGAAAAACACTCATTGGGCCCCAACCTGTATCAAAAATACATGAGTGTCATCGCCTCGTCGGTAAAGTGCAGCTTTTAGCTTGAGAAAAGGGCATGATGAGACACAAGTCGATGTGTTGTTTGAGCACGGGGATGGGGAACGGCTCCCCCCTCACCCATGAGATGAGCTGCGCCGGTCTCTGCGGGTGGTGCAGAGGGTCCTTAGGTGCTGGTGGGGTGATGGTGGAGCTCCTGCCCCTTCAGCAGCGCCACCTGCAAGGCAGGGGGTGGCAGAGTGAGATGGGGGGGAGCGAGGAGGGGACACGAGCGTGTGTCCCCCTCCCACCTCGGGTGTCCCCCCGCGCTCACCTGCTCCTCCAGGTCGCGGACATGGTGGCCGCGGTCACGAGCCTCCAGTACCCGCTGGGCCTGGAGCTGGGCGATGCGCAGGCGGTCCAGCCCCCGCTGCAGCTCCGGAGACGGCCCAGGGCTCGGCACAGACGGGTGCTCCAGCACCGACACCTGTGCCTGGGCAGGCGGGGGGGGGCTGTCACCCCAAAACTGGGCACCTGCCCTCCCCAGGCTGGGAGGAGCCCCAAAAAGAGCCCAGCACCCTCCCCCCGCAAGCATCAGCATCTCCCCAAGCTGGAAGCGCCCCCAAAAGGAGTCCAGTGCCATGCCAGTATCCTTCCAAGCTGGGAGGAAGCCCCAAGGAGCCCAGCACCACCCCAATACAAGCACCGGCATCTCCCCAAGCTGGGAAATGCTCCAAAAGGAGACCAGTACCATCCCAGTATAAGCACCAGCACCTCCCTTCAAGCTGGGGTGACCCAGCATCATCCCAGTATAAGCACCAGCACCTCCCCAAGATGGGATGAGCCCCACGAGGAGCCCAGCACTGTCCCAGTACAAGCATCAGCATGTCCCCAAGATGGGAGCACCCCCAAAGTGAGCCCAGTACCATCCCAGTATCCTTCTAAGCTGGAATGAGCCCCCAGAAGAGCACAGCACAAGCACCTGCATCTTCCCAAGCTGGGAAATGCCCCAAAAGGAGACCAGCACCAGCACCTCCTTTCAAGCTGCGATGAGCCCAGCACCATCCCAGTGCAAGCACCACAGCATCGTCCCAAAATGAAAGCAGCCCAGAAGTAAGCCCAGTGCCATCCCAGTATCCTTCCAAGTTGGAATGAGCCCCCAAGGAGCCCAGCACCACCCCAGTACAAGCACCAGCATCTCCCCAGGCTGGGATGAGCCCCCAAGGAGCCCAGCACCATCCTGCTACAAGGCAGAGGTGCACCGCGCAGTCGGGCAGCACCCAGGGGTGCCACCGCCTGCACCCATCGCCCCTGGGGGGCCCAGGGCCACCCACCTGCAGCAGGTGGATGCGGTGCTGCGCCTGCGCCAGCTCCCGCTCGGCCGTGCCCAGCGAGCGCCCCAGCCGGCCCTTCTCCGCCGAGAGCCGCAGCGAGGCCTCCTGCGTCCGCAGCTTCTCCCGCTCCACCTGCGCCACCGGAGGGACACAGAGACACCGGGTGCGGGGGGTGCAGCACCCCCAACCCCCGCTGCACCCTCCCGCCAGCAGGCGGGACACGGAGATACACACAATGGGACGTACCAGACGTGAAATACAGAGATACAAGGGAGAAAGTACATACACACCATGGAAATATATATACGTGACGTGTAAAATATGTACATTTTACATACTCTGTAGATAAACATAAGAATGGAGATAAACTATATACTGCATATATATTTTGCATATAATATATATAACACTTAGAAGCTATGTAATACATGTAATATGTATTTCACATGTGAAATACATAGCGTAAATATAGCATAAAATAGAAATATCATAAAATATAGATATACCATCAAATATATAGCACAAAATAGGTATTTCACATGTAAAACATGTATTGTATATAAAATATATATAAAATGTGCCATCAAATATTTAGCACAAAATAGATATTTCACATGTAAAACATGTATGGAATATATATATAAAATGTACCATAAAATACATAGCAGAAAATATATATTTTACATGTAAAATACATACTAAAATAGATAAATATATATTTTAAACATATAAAATGTATATATTTCAAGTGCATATAGACTCTGTGCGGAGTGGAGCAGGAAGCAACACATATATAAAATATATTTAATGCTTGGAAAATAACCGTGCACTGTTAATAAGCCGGGTTTAGGGCTTTATATTTGATTCGCACCCAGTTGTGGCCAAGGAGGGCTGCAAGTCCCGGCTGTGCTGTCACCCAGTAGTGAACCCACGGGGGCCAGCCCCAGGGGCACCCATGGGTGCCACCCGCCCTCTCACCTTGTCCAGGGTCTTCTTCAGGGCGCTCTTGTCCTTCTCGAGGCGGAGAGCGACGCGCTCGGCCTCCCGCTTCTCGCCCTGCGTGCGGGTCAGGGCGCGCTGCAGGCTGCCCACCCGCTCCTGCAGCCCCCCCTGCTCCTCCTGCCGCTGCTGCAGCGCCTGCGCCAGGCCGGGGGGTCAGCCCCAGCCCCCCAGGGGTGTGGGG